AAATTTCATGATGAACAGACACAAAATTGTGTGGAAAAATGTCTGGTTCCATTGACTTACATTAAAGTACAGTATGTTTTTTCTTTCTCCTGTAAAGTTACCATTTTTCCGACAGCAGTGATAAGCATACTTTATAGCTACGTGTTGTAATTTGTCGATGTTACAACAAAAATTTGCATCTCCAAAATGGCAACTTTACTGTAAAAGGAAAAAACATTCTTAATGTACAACAGAAGTTAATGTAACAAGATTGCTGTTTTAGAGCATTTGTTTTAGTCCATTCATCAGGAAAGTTTAACACAACACAAAGAGTAGCTTGAATTTTCTAATTAAGATTAAATAATTTGAGTATGAGGTGAAAGGTTTTTGGGTGACAGCGGGTTTTTTGTTCATTAGTATACTGTTTGTACTCTGTATTGTCCATTAATGTACACATCAAATTTACCAAGACAAATTTTTTGTACATGCCAGTGTACTTGGGCAGTAAAGTGAATCTTATTCTAAATAAATCGTTTTTCACTTCAAAGTTACAGTTAAAAAAGACACACAGAACATTATACTGTAGTTTGTCTTTTACTTTTTCCAGCATTTAAAAGCTCTGACAAATCCACATTCCAGCATTGGTGCAACTTAAGCATCCAAGGCCATTCCTTCCACCAGTCAAATGACTTTTGAGAGTTGCAACCCAATCCAGAGCTCTGGATTCTTGGCTTGAGATCTGATGTTCCTGCCTGGGTTCTCCTAGCTTTGCTGGCCCAATAGACTGTGATATTTTACCCCCGGAAGAGTGTGCGTCTCTGGGTACGGTGTGACGGATGGCCCTCGTAGCGGAGCTCAGATCCACCCAGCAGAATGATACTCCCTCTGAGAGATGGAGTTCTTGGCTTAGGCTTCGGCAGCTTCTGAATGTAAGCTCTAACATAACCACTGCATTAAAAAAACAGAATACCCTCTAAGATGGAGCACCTGAATCTTTCTGCTAGAATTCTCTTTCATTTTGCCTCGTTCACCTCTTATATTTTCCAGTTCCAGTAGACAGCAAAGCACTTTCTGGGACTCTCTGGATTTCAGAGTAGTCAGGTCAAGTTTAAAATTTAACTCTTGTGTGGTGTTGATGTGTTTGTTACTCAGTGGTCTGGTGGACCCACCACATTCTTGTTTTTTTAAATCAATACAGTCATAACAATTTATGTAAAAATACCAGATGTTTAAAATATCTCAAGTGTCCAGCATAGGGTTCTCCTTTAGCAGCTGTAGCCAGTCAGCAGCCTGTCCATGTTGTCAGGAGAACAGAGTGAAGGACACAGCACCTCCACACTTTCACTCCCCGCGGGTTCACCCCAACACCATATGTGTAATATAAATGTGTGGGGGGGTGAACAGAGTGAAGACACTGAAAATGGGTTATTTTATATGTTCTTCACAGAAAATGAGCAAAGACCAAGGAATCTGAGGTTGAAATAATAATAAACTGCATCATTTTTTTTCTTTTGGTAAACACTGAAAATGGGTCCCACAGACTTGAACACCACACAAGGGTTAAGGCAACTGTCTTCATATTACTATTGATTAACTGAAGCTGAAAGAACTGGACTTTGAGCTCAAATTGAGATAACTTAAAAAGGCTGTGAAGCAAGTTGCCCTAAAATTTTAAGGCGTTTGACCAGACATTTCTTTTTTATAGTATTTCCCACAAATTGACTTTAACCCCTTGAACTGCAGATGTACATCATTCACTAACTACTATAAATGATTTGGTAACTATAAAACTACTAACTAAGTTACGTATTTAAGAGATCATAGCCCAATGAAACAAGTGGTGGATTCTAAACTTAGTTTAGGACTTAGTTTAGTTTAGAATGATAACACACATGGAAGTATTTTATTATGATTTGAATTTGATGTAAAGTTTTGAATCCAATCAGCAGAAAAAAAAATTACATCTTTTACATTTTTGCCATGTATTTGTCATTTTTCGACCTGCAAACTGAATGTAAATGTACTTCATTACATTACTAACTACATAATTCATGTAATTGTGTAAATACATTTAAAAAGTATTGCAAAATGACAGGAATAGCTCTTGACTTCATTTGCTTTATTCACCTCCTCTTTTGTTTGAATCCAGTTTTTGAAATCTCTGAGAACAAATTCACTTTAACCCTATAAACCAAAGATTTATTACTCAGTTATTAACGTTGAAATTTATTATTCAGTAATTATTATAATAGGTGTAACATGAGCTATTTATGAGAGTGAGGAATTGAAGCGCACACCCAAACAGGGGCCTTTTTTGTTATAGAGATTAATGTTTAACCTTTAACTTTTCTCTCATCTATTTTTGCCTTGCTCACATTTCTCTAAGAGTATACTCCCTTGCTTACACACTCTGTCTCTCCCGTTTCTCACATTCCCATCTGCCTTCCTTTCCCTCTCCTCCACAAGAGCTCCATCACCATAATCTCTGCTTTTGACTCATACATCAGAGCAGACCATCATACATCATCTCAGATACAACATCCTCAGTAAGTCTCTTGTAACACCTCATATACTACATGCACATCTGTTTTGAGTGATGAGAGAGGAGGACATGGGTATTATGCGTTTTTAAATGGATCAACCGCTCAGTCTGTTCTATAAAGCTCTGTGAAAAGCCTGAGTTACTCCATCATATGGTGAATGAGAATACAGTGGGGTCATCCTCCCTCTCCTCTGTCGTTTTTCCAGCTCTTTCAACACTTTTAGAGGCCTTAAAGCTATAAAACTGTGTATTTGTGTCCACGTGTCTGAAAGGGTCTAGAATAGGGATATGAGGGGTGTGAGTTTTTTCAGAACCGTTATACTGGTATGCCACAAATAGGCACAGATATCGTACAAATAACTACGGTTGAACTGTTAAAATAGGTTTGCATAAGCATTGAAAGTGGTTTTATTTGAAAATATATATACTCTGATGGGCGGCACAGTGGATAGCACTGTCGCCTCACAGCAAGAAGGGCCTGGGTTCGATTTTGATTCGGTGGCCAGGTTCCTTTCTGTGTGGAGTTTCATGTTCTCCCTGTGTCTGTGTGGGATTCCAATAGGTGCTCCGGTTTCCCCCCACAGGCCAAAGACATGCAGTCAGGCCAACTTGGACATGCTATAACCCCTAGGTGTGAATGTGTGTGTGAGTGTATATGTCTGTCCGTCTGCCCTGCAATGGACTGTCGACCTGTCCAGGGTGTATCTTGCCTTCCTCCCAATGACTGCTGCGATAGGCTCCAGCACGGAAAGCACAGAAAAGCAGTTTCAGAAAGTGTGTGTGCGTGTATTCCATAATATACACTGAAACCATCAGAAATCTTAATTATACCTTAATATAAATTGTTGGCTGTACCACCCACTGCTACTACTACTGCTACTGTGTTACAATTTTATGATGTTAGTGCACTTGCTTTACATTTGAATGCTGCTGCTACACCTATACCAAAAATAATGTCCTTAATATTGGCTAAAGGAATGTGCTGGGAATGTGCTACTGTGTTTCATGTATTCATTTAGCCCACACAGAGCTTCAAATAAAAAAAAGGATTGGCAATCAGCCAATGTGACCATATTGGATTCAGGATTGGCCATCAAAAATTCATGATCAGAGCATCCCTACTGTGCAATACAGACAAAACACTATATATTTTACTGCTACATATTGCAATTGCAATACACCATGAAGTATATTATGAAGGCATTTGTGAACCAGTAATGTGACTTAGTTAAAGACTGGCCTGCATTATTTTGACCAAAATAATTTACTTTTTTGGATTATATGTATATCTTGATTCATTAAAACACCCACTGAAACACTCATATGAACCTGTCCTCGGCCAAGATGCTCGTAGCACCCGGTAAAAACATTGTGATTGGTTAGAGAGCTCATTAGTGTAAAGCAAAGGTAAATATAATGATACCAATTAACAAATACTGTATTGCCATGCTGTAGCCTGAAGATGGCCAATAAGCCAGTAATGGTTAGAACAGAATAATGTATAGAGATTCATTGACAGAAGATATTTTATAGAAATCTTGCCCAATTTCCCAAGAGTTTAGAGGAAAGAATGAATTGTTACTCGTTTCTCAAACATAAGACAGAAGAGATGTGTAAGATCTCATTCAAAGTGTAGAAGAGCGCATTACCAAGCTAGAAAACAGCATTTCCAGAAGAACGGTTAAACCAAACATTTTGTTGCCATTGCCACAGCCAGCGCCACTATGATGAGTCAACAGTCAATACTAGAGTAGGCAGCCAACAAGGGTCCCTTCTTCACTTTCAGCAGGCTGCTCTTATTGTAAGCGAGGAAGTTGACAGTTTTTAACCAAAAATATGACCTTTGTTGCGATGCACCACTCAAATTATACATTCCTCATAGCCTTCATACAGGTGGCATGCAGCATGCAGCATGGTATCATCACACACTGACAAAATCAAGTTTATCCTTAGATCCAAATGGCATGCTAAAGGTTTCTAGACAGATACACTGCAAAACACAACATTCCTGCTGCAATGTGGTGCAGGCTATATGCCCATGATCTAAAACAGCAGCAGTAACGTTCTCCAAAGGAGAGTCAATATGGTTCAGCTTCCAACAAGTTAGCTTATGTCTTAAACAGATAAAGGCACAAAGCTAAACTGCTCTCCACACAAACTTTTATTTATTATTATTATTAAGTGACCCTTATTAGTCCCACAAAAGGGAAATTTCACCTCTGCATTTTAACCCATCCGTGCAGTGAAACACCACATCCACACTAGTGAATGCACACACACTAGGGGGCAATGAGCACACTTGCCCAGAGTGGTGGGCAGCCCTATCCACAGCACCCAGGGAGCAATTGGGGGTTAGGTGTCTTGCTCAAGTGCACTTCAGTCACGTACTGTCAGCTCAGGGGATCGTACTGCCGACTTTCCAGTCACAAGGCTGCTTCCCTAACCTCCAGCCCATGACTGCCCCAAACAGACAAGGACGTGTTTCTGCCTGGGGTCGGACCAGGGGCTTTCGCGTGTAAGGCGAACATGATGACCGCTACACTACAGGAACTTGTAATCATTTATAACTGGTAAAGCACAGAGGGCACCCAAAAGATTCTGACGGATTTCGGGAGGCATATTTGGCAGCTCATAATAGTGGAACTTTCTTTAGATTATGTGAAAACCATTGAAGATTGGGTGCTGGTAATGTTATCTATGTACTAAACCTGATGTCTCTGAACATCAGGACTGAAGTGCTTTGCTTTGATTGGCTTTCAGAACTGAATCTTTTACACTTAAGTGGGCTTTCTTGTAATTGGTTTTTAGAAGCTGCAACACAGATTTGTTTTTACTCTGTAGCAGTTATAAAAATTAAAGTAGTGAAGTAAAAATATGTTGTTATGATGAACTATAAGTACTGAATGAGAGTGCATGTTATTCATTACTTTCCACCTCTGCTGGTATCAGATCATTTCTAACAGCTACTGTTATAGGTTCAGACAACTTTTAGCATAGAAAAGGCTTATGATCAGGTTTTGAGGCCTCATCAGAGGGCTCATTTGCATGTTGCAACCATCTGTGAAAGCAAATAATGCAATAATAATTAAAAAATCTGTATACTGTGCAGCCCCAGTGTTTGATACTGTTCGCTTTGAGGCCGTTGATAAGAGAAGAACTGACAGCTTTCCATAGATCTGACTGTGTCCCGGGCAGAGAGTAAGTATATGAGAGAGAAATGGAGAGAGAGAGCCTTGCCAAGGTGTTACTTCACTGGCAGGACATCTAAGGCTTGGCTTTCCATCCTATTGCTCCCACTTTTCCATCTCTCTCCCTCTCCCTTTCTCTTTGTCTCTTTCTCTCATCCTCCAACACACATTCAGAGGTGCTAGTTCTGAGTGTCCGCCAGGCAGGAAGTGACCTCAGCATCTCTGCTGGGAACAGAGGAATGGAAAAACGAGGGCAGAGGTGTGAGCGTGCATGGTGTGTGTGTGCGTGAGTGTTTGTCACTGGGAGGCTTCATCCATTCCAGTAAACCCTGCCGCTGCCCAATGGAGCTGAATCAGCTAATGGGGTGAAGTGGAGCTCCCAGCGGAAAGCAGAGCACATCTTCCACCTCCAAAATACATGAGCGAAGACTTCAGAGCGTCTCTCTCACCCAATAAATCTGCCTGTTGTGCACGTCAGCGAAGAAAGAGAGACCACATGACCCACAGGCTAGTTAACAGGCCACAAATATCTGAATGAGGATGAGTGGGGAAGACTGAAGGCCAAAGGTCATTCCTGACTGAAGTGAGTAACTCTCAGCTGGTATTCTCACAGCGTTGATGATCTATACTGAAAATGTTTAACCCTTAGAAGCTACAGTTATCACCAGCAATAACTGAAACGTGGTGTCATTTTATTTTGATTCTGTGGGACAAATTCTGTTTAAAGTACATATTCTAAACTTTCAGCCGGCACCACATTTATATTCGTAGGTGGAAAAGGAGAATTTTTGTTATGATTTGAATTTGACAAAAATTATTTTTTTAAGTAAAACTCAAAAGTGTGGACCTGAACCTGTTGATAAATGAAAGTCATTATTCAAATATAAGTAACTATGCAATTATATTTAAATAGTGCAGCAAAACAACGAGACTCCTAAGGGTTTAAAAGCACTCTGGGATCATTTCACCAATGGTGTTATATCGGTAGACTTTTTACTGAATCTGATCTCTCTATATAGGCCCATTCACACCAAGATTTTATTGGATCAAAAAAAGATTTAATTTTTACGGAGCAGAACAATCGCGTAAAAAAAAAGACTGGAAAAAAGATTGGATTTGATGTGATGTTCTGCTTCGTTAAAAATGTAACTATTTTTTTTAATCATCGAGCAGGAGCAGCAGAAATGACCCCCCCACCAGTAGTAGTGATGGTGAATTTATCTTTTAAGTACTGCAACAAGAAGGTCCACACACTGGGTACACACCATCCTACAATAAAGTCATGCTCCACCACCTCATAAGAGCTGAAGGTGTAATGAGCGATTTTGAAGATATTTTTTTGATGTTGGGAATTCGAGGTACTGCTTCTGCTCGTAGCTGTTCCACATTTGTACAGTTAACATATTGCTTATTGTATAAGCTTTTGTGCGCTGCCACAAGCAAGATGAGCTACTCTGACACACATTTGCTCGAAGTTAAACCAAGACAGGGGAGCTCTGACCACGTTAATATGTGTATGTTCATTTCCGAAAGTTGATGTACATTTTCTCGTGTGAATAGATCTTTACAATTATACCAATTACATCATCAACATTACTGTTTACAGCTCATATTATAACAATGTAAACATTAGTAGTAGGTGATATACTGGTTGAAATTCTTAAAAATTGTCATTGCCTTTATACTGGTATGGCATGAAAAATGCAGATACAACATACAACAGTGCAAAACGACAATTCCCTCACCTTCTATGTAGCAAGATGCTGCCTAAGGTAAGTTGGTCTAGTTTGTTGTTGAAGGAGCAGACATCAGATTGTGATCAGTTAATGAGTTAAATAAGCAAAAAGTGAGGCTACTGGGGTTAGCCATTAGCCATTAGCCATTAGCCAAGCATGGAGATCAGCTGGCTTTCTGTGCACAGACGACTATGGCGCCCTCTGTGCTTCAAGCAATGTGCTTCAGGCAATGCCGTGGTCACGGACTACAACTCAAGGGGCTTCTTAGCTAATGGTAACAGCAAGAATAGTTTGCAATATTTACCAGATTCCAGCAGTGTCTGACGTCCATTGATGAAAGTTCAAGCATAAGACATGCATTTGGACGTAAAACAATGTTCAGTATTCAGTACTGTCAGGCTCAGATAAGCCGCTGTGGACTTGATCTACGCTTACTTTTATTTAGAGTTAGAAAACATTGGTCTGTATATTGTTAATTTCTGTTTTAATATTTCACCCAACAACAATTCCGCATTGTTAATCTACAAAGTAGGTTACATAAGCATCTATCCATCCATCCATCCATCATCTAAACCGCTTATCCTTCTGGGTCGTGGTGGGGTGCTGGAGCCTATCCCAGCTGTCATTGGGCGGAAGGCAGGATACACCCTGGACAGGTCGGCAGTCCATCGCAGGGCAACATAAACATCTAAAATGCTTTTATTAGAAAAAAATATTGAAAAATAACACTTTTTCTGGGTGGGTAAGATGGCACTTCCTCTCCATAACACCTAGCGCAATGCTAAACAATGCAGACATCCATTAGCTGACGTAACAGAACCGGCAATTAGTACTTTCACCAGAGTTTCCCCATACTCTGCCCCTTTGGCATTGCATTAGCAGCAGTTTGAAAGGATGCAGTGGCTGGCTTAATCATACAAATTATACTATGTAACATGCATTGACCAGGCACATGCTTTGCAAGTAGGCTAGTTACTTCCACTGAGACTTTTCGACAACACGATGATCATACATGGTTGCTGGAATTAATACCTTTGAAATCATTGGCTTTTACACCATAGTATATCAATAAACCACTAATCATCTCATCTACAGCAGACCGGCTGTTTTGTCCAATTCTTGTCACACTAAATATGAACACTGTTGCCATGTTCCAGTAACTGAGTGGAAAAATGCAGTCTATTTGAATTTCAAACAAAAAAATATGCAGTCTAAAATGTCTCGACTTCCGTAAACTAGCATAAATTACATCAAAAAGTGTGCGTCATCATTCACCTCGGTGTGTACTGAGTGTGTACAGCAAAGCATTTTCCCAGATCTAACCATAAACAGACGAACAGGACCTCCACTGCTTGGCCATTTCATGTTACAGGCAAAGTTCTGTTTCGCGGACGCCAGCCGGAGTATTGGTTTCTCGGGCACACTTCAAAGGCCTGAAGCTGCCTCTAATTCAGTGTGTTTATGGTGGGTCTAAATTACGGGATCAAATTCGCCCAGCACCAAAAACCACTGCCAACTGCCACGAACTTCTCCCAACCAGTGCTTTTGTCCTCCGCAGACGTGTAACAGAATCTCTTGGAAAACCTCTCTCTCTCTTTCTGTCACTCTGCCTCTCTTTCTCTCTCCCTGGGTCTCTCTCCACTGGCGCTACAGGCAACAGGCAGCAGAAACAAAGGCAGTTTTTTACTCTTTAACGGCAAAGGAAATGCCTATGGCAGAACACATTCACAAATAAAGCTCGACAGACAAGCTGCGGTTATTCTGTCCTGCAGTAACATGAAGGACAGCATGGATCTCATAGACCTGACCACTGATGAGTAAGGTTTCTTTGGTAATAATGGCTGGTCCTGGTATGACCAAAGTAATGCGGCAAGTGTGACCAGATGGGGGCGCTAGTGTAATGGAAAGGCAGGCTTGGGCTGTGCAAGGTTTCCCTCTAAGAGAAGAAAAAAGGCTCTGAGGTTTTTACACAGTAGAAGTTAGTTAACACTAACACTGAACATGTGCTTATTGTAATTTGAACTGAGATTGCTGTTATTTACACTGCGGTGTAGGTTACTATACAGAGCACAGCACTGCAGTACTGCGCAGAAGTCTAGGCTGTTAAACTATATCTGAACAGTTAAGTGTGAAAAGTGTTTTTACTTGTAACATCAGAACAAATACTAATGAACATCCATCCATCCATCCATCATCTAAACCGCTTATCCTTCTGGGTCGCGGTGGGGTGCTGGAGCCTACTAATGAACATTGATCAAATAAAAGTTTACTAATATTTTCTAAAAAGTTAAGGTGGGATGGTGAGAAGAATACCGGTTAGGTTCTTCTTTTCCTTAATGTAGCCACTCCGTAGATTTAACTCAATGAAGTATATGAACGCAAAAGGGGAACTCCACCAAAATGACTCAAACATTCAATGGTTTAGATGTGAATAAAATCATTCAGAGTGGTTCGGTGTGAAAAGCGCCTTTCTAATGAATTTTAATGAGTCAAAATTGTTCATCATTATAGTACTAGGAACCAGACATCCGAAGCATTTAAAGGCTCTAAAGGCTACATCACATTACGTTATTACACAAAATGGTTATAAATGTGTTGCTTGATACCTGAGACATTGTTTTGTGATA